AAGCAGATTCCCCACAGGGAGCCCAATGCAGGGCTTGATCCCAAGATCCTGGGATCATGACCTGAGCCAAAGGCAGATGCTCAACCACTGAGCCACCCAGGTGCCCCTAAATTTCTGCCTCTTAAATCTTCTTTTGATTTAATATAACCTGGTTGGAGTTTTGAGTGTTATTTGGGGCTATAGAGGTATGAAAAATGTGTAAGGGAAACTAAGAACTAAGGGCCTTTTGTGTGCTGGGGACCATTGGAAGGTTTGATTTTTCTGCTGTAATTTAGTCAAAAGGATGATCAGTGGACAGGGAGGACTATAGCTTCCTTTACCTTAAGGTATTGAAGTGATGTGAGTATGGTTTCCAGCCCTTGTGCAGGCTGGCCTAGTTCTTAAATCTTTAGTAATGGAGAGTCCCAACCAAAACCCTGGAATCTTTGCCACTACTTCTGGGCATGCCCTGAAATTCACATTTTGTTTGACTCAGTTCTGTGAGTCTGCTGAAAGCTCTGCTTAGTTTCTTGGCCACTTTTGCCTTCAGAATTGGCAGTTGCTTCAAGTTGAAAAGCGCCCCAAATACCAGGCCCACCTCTGTTGGCTTTTTTTCCTTTCATATTTTGGTAATTTTTGAAAATAACCATCCTAATGAATGTGAAATGGTTCCTTTCCAAATTTGGGTAATTTTCACTGTTTTGAAAACTCTCTGATCCCTTCAGACAGACGTTTTAAAAATAATTTTCTGCTTTTTGTCTTCTAATTTTACTCTTGTAATGAAAATTATAGTTCTGGTGTTATATTCCATGCCACTGAATATCATACATAAATGTTGGAAGTATTGCACTTTTTAAGTCAGATTTATTGAGGTATATTTTACATTGAGTAAAATTTAACCTTTTATGAGTGTGTAGTTCAATGAGTTTTGACAGTTGGGTAACCATGACAACAATTGATAAACTGAATGTTTAATCACCCCAGAAGCTCCTTTGTAATCAATCCCCTTGCCTTCTCAGTAGCCCCTGGAAATCTGATCTGTTCCTATAGTTTTGTCTTCACTGAGTATTATTTAAGTGGAATCATTTTGAGATTCATCCATGTTCCTACACTGACCAGTAGTTTGTTCCTTTTTATTGCTGAGTAATATGCTGTCTATGGATATGCCACAGTTTGTTAATGCATTCACTAAATAATGGACATCTGGGTTGTTTCCATTTTTTAGCTTGTACAAATAAAGCACTATAAACATTCATATACTAATCTTTGATGCTTTCATTTCTTTGGGTAAATACATAGAAGAAAAGATTGCTGGGCCATAAGATAAATATCATAAGAAACTACCAAATTTTTTTTTTAAAGAACCATTTATTTACTTATTCATGAGGGACACAGAGAGAGGCAGAGACATAGGGAGAGGGAGTAGCAGGCTCCCCATGGGGAGCCCAATATGGTACTCAATCCTGGGACTTCAGGATCATACCTTGAGCCCAAGGCAGGCGCTCAACTGCTGAGCCACTCAGGCGTCCCTACCAAACTCTTTTTAATGTAGCTCTACCATTTTATATTCACACTTGGAAACATAAGTAAGGTCCATTTATATTTTATCTTATAATTTTAAGTGCTTTAAGAAATTTTTGAGTATAGTTGATGTCTTATAATTTTTTTCAATTTTAAATTAGGTACTTAGTGGTATTTTGTGATTTTAATTTTGTAGTTCCCTAACAGCTGATGATGTTGAACATCTTTTCTTGTGCTTATTTGCCATTCGTCTTTCTTTTGTAAAGTATACATTATCCAATTTTTTGCCCACTATTTTTTAATGAATTGTTTTTTTAATCGTTGTATTTTAAGAGTTCTTTATATATTCTGGTTATGTGTCCTTATTAGTCAGATTGTTTTGCAAATATTTTCTCCCAGTCAGTTTGTGGCTTGTGTTTTCATGTCTAACTCTGTCTTTTGAAGAGCAGGAGCTTTTAATTTTAATGGAGTCTAGTTTCTCAGTTATATCCTCTTAAGGTTTGTGATTTTTAGATTCTATTCTAAATCTCTGCCTAAGCCAAGATCATGAAGAATTTTGTCTGTTTTCTTCTAAAAATTATGTAGTTTTAGGTTTTACATTTAGGTCTGTGATCCATTTCAAATTAATTTTTTCTGTGTTGTGTGAAGTTTTATTTTTTTGGCCATTATTCTAGCATCATTTTTTGAAGAGGCTGTTCTTTCTTCATTGAATTGCCTTGTCATTCTTGTCAAAGTCAATCAGTATTATATGTGTGGGTCTATTTTTGGACTTTCTCTTCTGTTCTACTGACCTATATGTCTATCCTTTCTCCAGTAGTCTTGTACTTGTAAGTTTTGTAGGAATTATTTGTGCATTTTCTATCATCGTACCAACTTGTGAGATTCAAATAATGCAGCAAATCAGCTACCTCTTATCAAGAATGTGAGGTAATTGAGTAATTATTGAGCATGTGAATTTATTTATTTATTTATTTTTAGAGAGAGCATGGATAGACGTGTGCATATGTATGTGTCTACACACTCGAGCAGAAGGGGGAGGGGCAGAAGGAGAGGGAGAGAATCTTATGTGCGGAGTCGAGTATGAAGCTTGATCTCATGACCCTGAAATCATGAATGACCTGAGCTGAAACTTGGAGGCAGATGCTTAACTCACTGAGGTACCCAGGTGCCCCAAGCAGGTGATTTTATTTGTAATTAGTCATTTAATTTGCTTACAGTAATATACTAGAACTCCTTAAAGCATTTTTTGGGGTATTGCCAGTGAGAACTGTCATTGACTGCTATTAGGAGTGGAAATTGGTACAAGCACTCTCAAAAAGTAGTTTCTTCATTTCTAGTGAATGGAGATAAGCTATGACTCATTAACTCTACCTCTTAAGACATACACCCTAGAGGAATTGGCACATGTATGTAAGACGACAGATACAAGCATGTTTATTGCAGCATTATTTGAAATAAAATCTGGAAACAGGGCAGCCTGGGTGGCTCAGCAGTTTAGCGCTGCCTTCAGCCCAGGGCATGATCCTGGGGTCCCGGGATCGAGTACCGCATCAGGCTCCCTGCATGGAGCCTGCTTCTCCCTCTGTCTGTGTCTCTGCCTCTCTCTCTGTGTCTCTCATGAATAAATAAATAAAATCTTAAAAAAAAAGAAAAAAAGAAAAGAAACTGAAAACAACCTAAATATGTTTTAATAGAAAAATAGTTGAATAAATTGTAGGATGATAAAGGATACTATATAGAAATCAAAATGAGGGAACTAGATCCTCAACATAGTAACATAGATCTCAGAAGCAGTACATAATTTTAAAATAATACAAATACAATAGAAACAGCAGAAAAACATATACTAGAAAGATACACACTGAATATATTACAGTGGTTTCTAGAAAGGAGCATTAAAATGGGAAGAGGCATAAAAAAGAAACTTTTGTATCTGTTAGATTGTAATTTATTTTAAAACAAATTTAAGCAAATGTGACATTGTTATCAGTTACCATCACTCAGAATGCAAATGCTATTTTACTCTTTTCTGTAATTTTCCCCCTTTTCTCAAAAAACTAAAAATACACATAAGCAGATTTTTTTTAATATATAGGAAAATAAGCATCCAAATAGTTTGAATTGACATATAACATATTCTTAATAATTTCTTCATGTTTCATTATCAAGTACTTCTTGAACCCTTATTCTGGCTCAGAAACTGTGAAATACTAATGGCATTATAATAAGGAAGAAATTACCTCATCCCAGGGGCTAAATAATAGCTAGTGATTTATTTGAGGAATGAAGGAAGGGGTAGGTGGTATACACTCACAAGGGGACAGCACTTTTTAGTTGTTTTGTGTGGTAGTTATAGTAAGACTTCATCTCTCTTAATCAAAGGAGTCATGATTGATTGGCTTTGAAATTTCAAATGATATTAAGGAATGACATTGGAATTTTTGTTTGATTAAATAGGAATATAAGTTTGGAAAGAAAAGCTGATTCTAATAGATGATTTCCACCTTTACTATATCTCTGTGCCTCTTAGGCTTTTGCAGATTCTAAGGACTAAGAAATTAATTTTCAAAAACTGAGAGTTGCATATGATTGTTCTCACTTTACAGAGGCACATGGGTGACTCAGTTAAGTGTCCAACTCTTGATTGAACCCCATGTTAGGCTTCTTCTGGGTGTGGAACCTGCTTAAGATTCATTCATATTCTCTCTCTCTCTTCCCCCCTCTTTTTCTCCCTCCCCCTCTGCCATCCCTCCCTCCCCCCACATGTGTGCAAGCTCTCTCTCAAAAAAAAAGAGGAAAAAAGAATGTCTAGTTCCTTGGCAGATAAATGTTTACTAATTGAAAATAAAATCTTAAAAAAAAGAAATATCCTACACACATTTTGATTTGCTGAATTCTTAGATCCTTTTTAACTCGGATCAAGAATTAATGTTATAAACCAGTCATTTGTTTCAAAGAAAATGGATGTGTTACTAAATGCCATACTTGTAATCTCATGTATCAGTTCTCATGATGCAGTCATTAGTTAAATAAAAACTAACGCCAGAAAGTAGGCACCCAACAATGAACAAATTACATCAGATTTCAATACTATTGGATGAAACAGTGCTTTTCCCCCCATTATTGAAATCATGCTTATATATTCTAATAGTATGGATTTTGAAAACCATTTATTTAAAATATATTCTCCCTAATTAAAATTTCTTTCCATAGTACAGTATTTCAGTGATTATAAGCATCAATATCATGAGATGGCAAACAAAGGACTCACAGCCCTAAAATTTTGAGAAACATTGAAGTCTATACCCCCCTCTTGGAAATTCATATGTACATTAGGATGCTAAAGGTTTAAGAAGTCATATAGTAATATTTCTCAGATTTATATGGTCACAACCTGCTTTTTCACGTATTATCTAATAACAGCATTACTTGGGGAATGTTTAGTATATTCTAGTATATAACGTATAATATATATACAAATAATTATTTCTATTTTAAAGCAGGACAAAAAGAGCAAGCTGTGGAATGGTATAAGAAAGGTATTGAAGAACTAGAAAAAGGAATAGCTGTCATAGTTACAGGACAAGGTAAGATTATATTTACATTTGTTTCATAGCCATCCCAAATTATATTCACATGATGGCCCTAATTTCAGATATAGCTGCCTTTCTAAAAGTATTTGACAGATTTTTCAAATGTTATTATTAACATTTATAGATTTACAATTAATGCTTTATTACCTATGCTAAAATCTAATTTATAACCAGCTGTGCTTCAACTTGATTACCTGTAACAGCCCAGTATATTACCTGTGTCCTCTCTGACCCGCTGTTGTTGATGGTTAGCCTCATTTTTTTTTTTTAAAAGAAGCTCCTCTTTTTTTTTTTTTTTTTTTAATTTTTATTTATGATAGTCACAGAGAGAGAGAGAGAGGCAGAGACACAGGCAGAGGGAGAAGCAGGCTCCATGCACCGGGAGCCCGACGTGGGATTCGATCCCGGGTCTCCAGGATCGCACCCTGGGCCAAAGGCAGGCGCCAAACCACTGCGCCACCCAGGGATCCCGGTTAGCCTCATTTTTAGCTCTATTTTGAACCTGGTCCTTCCCTCATTGTCAAAAAGGAAGGCATAGTTAATTAGACTCCCTTTTCTGTTTGTGGGTAATGCTTGACTGCATATTAGAATATGAACTATAAATGTCTTACTTTGATTCATACTTGGCTTTTTGAAACCTAAGCAGTCATTTCTCATCTTTACTTTCTTATCACCTAAAATTAAAAATTAGTCTAATTTTATCTTTAAATATATAGGTACTATTTATTGCACACTGTGGTGTGTGCCCAAACATCATTGTGTGTACTTCATGGGTGTTATCTTTTGCAATTTTTACCACACTCTGAGGCTGCTGCTGTTATTCTTATTTTTCATATAAATAATCCTAAGTATGAAGAAGTTCAGTAACTTGCCTAAGGGCTCATAGCTAGCATGTGGTAGATGGAGTCAGGCTTTGAACCCAAGCAATCTGACTTTGGAGCCTGAATTTTTAAATATTATGCTGTGATTATTGTGTAGTATGTGGGCACCACTATTAAACAGAGTGTTTCAGTTTGTCATGCTAAAATAAATTCAGAAGAAAAAATAATAATATGTAGGCTGAGAATCTTAGCCTTATGGATCAGTCTACCCAGTGGTTGTTTGTTGTCTGGTTGGCTGACTCTGTTACTTACATCAGCTAATCTCTAATAATTACAGTGTGTCTAACATTTGTCAGGTTTTTTTTTCTCCTCTTTTTATTTTGAGTGCTTCTCTAGGTGCTGATGTCCTGCACAAAAGAGAGCAGAATAGAACAAATACATATGGGAGGTTAGGCCTTTGAGTCTTTCCATGAATTTATGAGCATGACTATATGAATTATGTACATAATGTATTTGCTGTTATTTGTCAATTCCATGGAAGAAGAACTAGAAGAAAAATTTGTTAAGAAAAATAGTATCTCATTGAATCGAACATGCCTTTGTACCATTAAGAGAAAAAACAATGACAGTCAACCTATGATACCTTCTTTTCTTGTCACTTGGAATTTAACTTTTACTTTATTGCATGTACTGTCTTCATTCTATTTAGACATAGCTATAATTGCAGTATTAGTATCAAGGACCAAATATGTTCCTGCACAGGAAATGACAAACTGTGGTATGAGTGCAATTTGGCTGATAGCTTTAGTAAGTTGGTACTGGTTGTAAAATACATCTCTTGAGGCTCCTGGATGGCTCAGTCAGTTAAGCGTCCAATTCTTGATTTCGGCTCAGGTCATGATCTCAGGGTTGGAAGATTGAGTCCCACAACAGGCTCTACGCTGGGTATGGAGCCTGCTTAAGGTTCTCTTTCTCCTTCTACCCCTTTCTCTCTCTTTCTCTCTCTCTCTCTTTTAAACATTTATTTGTTCAAGAAAGAGACAGAGGCAGAGACATAGCCAGAGGGAGAAGCAGGCACCATGCAGGGGGCTCAATGTGGGACTCGATCCCGGGTACCCAGGATCACGCCCCGGGCTGAAGGTGGCACTAAACCGCTGAGCCACCCGGGCTGCCCACCCCTCTCTCTTAAACACACACACACATATCTCAATTTCAGATGATTTTTTTTAATGTAGAGAAAAAATATTTCTGAAAATCCATGAAATGACATGTGAAATCCATGAAATACCACAATAGATCTGAAACCATCATAAGAAACTGTAACTGTTATTTTATTTTTATTTATTAATTTTTTTAAACATTTTATTCATTTGAGAGAGCGAGCAGAGAGAGAGTACATGGTCAGGAGGGAGGGGTAGAAGGAAAAGGAGAAGCAGACTCCCTGCTGAGCAGGGAGCCCAATTCAGGGCTTGATCCTAGGATTCCAGGATCATTACCTGAGCCAAAGGCATTTGCTTAACCAGCTGAGCCACCCAGGTACACTCCTGTAACTGATTTTTTAAAAGATACTAATTTCTTTATAAAGACCATGATTCAAAAAAAAAAAAAAATTAAAGACCATGATTCCCAAGGCACTTGGGTGGCTCAGTTGGTTAAACATCTGACTCCTGATTTCAGCTCAAGTCTTGATCTCAGGATTGTGAGATTGAGCCATGCATCAGGCTCTGCACTCAGTGGAGAGTCTGCTTCTCTTCCTCTCCCTCTGCCCCTTTGCTTGCACGTGCATGCTCTCTCTCTCTCTCTCTCTCTCTCTCTCTCTCTCTCTCTCAAATAAATAAATTTTTAAAAAGGAAAAGACTATGACTCTCTATGAGATTAGTTGGGATAATATTTTATCTTGAAGTAATATTAGTAGGGAAACACAGATGTTTTAATTTTTTTCCCCTTTATTCCAGGTGAACAGTGTGAAAGAGCTAGACGCCTTCAAGCTAAAATGATGACTAATTTGGTTATGGCCAAGGACCGTTTACAACTTCTAGGTATCAATTAATGAATTGTATAACTGGAATGAGATGTATTTGAAATGTGTGTTCAGTGAAACTTTAAATGTGGATGGAAATAGATCAATAATCTTAAAAATGTGTTCTAGACTTTTTTCTAACTTATAGAAAATTTCTAACATATTCCAGATAGAAGAGTATAATGGATTATCACTCAGCTCTAATAATTATTAATTCATAGTTTTGATTTATCTACTCAAGAACTGGCAAATTACAGCCTATGGACTAAACTCAGTTTAGTGCCTAATTTTATAAGATGGTACACAGTTACTCATTCCTCTCTCTGTTACCTGGATCCTTTCATACTACAGTGACAGAATTGAAGAATTGATAACAGAAATCATACAGCCCTCAGAGCCTGTCAATAGAGAACTTTAAAAAGTATTTTAATATTTACTATCTGCCTTTATATAGAAAAAGTTTGCCAACCCCAGTAAATCCCTACCTACTCACCCCCACTTCATATTATGTTGAAACAAATTCTTGACATCTTTTTATTTCACTTACAAGTATTTCATATTCTATCTCTAAAAGATAAAAATGCTTTAAAAATAATATTGCCAGAGGTGCCTGGGTGGCTCAGTGGGGAGCCTGCTTCTCTCTCTTCCTCACCCTGTGCCGCCCCCACCACCACCTACTCATGCTCTTTTTCACTGTCTTTCTCTCAAATAAATAAAAATCTTAAACAAAAAAAAAGGGACGCCTGGGTGGCTCAGCGGTTAAGTGTCTGCCTTTGGCTCAGGGCATGATCCTGTAGTCCTGGGATCAAGTCCCATATCGGGCTCCCCGCATGGAGCCTGCTTCTGCCTCTGCCTACATCTCTGCCTCTCTGTGTCTCTCATGAATAAATAAATAAAATCTTTAAAAAACAAAAATTAAAAATAAAAAAGTAAAATAAAATTACCAAAATGCCATTATTCCATCGAAAAAACCCAATAATTTCTTTTAGTATTAACAAAAAATAATAGCCAAAGAAATAGTGTTCAAATATAATGTGTATATAATAATTATATGTCTAGTTAGTATCTCAAAATTTAATAATTCTTACTGTTTTTCTAATAAGTTTTTGAAGCAGGATCTTAAAATTCATATGATATGTTTCTTTTAATATTCAAGTTCATCTGTTTTTCTTTTTCTTGTAATTTATTTGTTGATGAACTGGATCTTTGACACATTGTGATTTCCTGCAGTCTTTCTTTTGCTCTGTGAATCTCCATGGTACCTTTTAATATGGTCTGCCCTCCCTATAGATTGATAGTTGGATATAGAGCCTGGATTGTATTGACAGTTGATTTTTATTTTTTAATAAGACTACTAGATAAGTGGTTGTGTGTTTATTTGACTATAGTTCTGACATCTTGTGATGGTAGTAGGGGTTGATGACTGATGCCTACTGACATAATTCTGTCGTTCTTTATGCATTTATAAGCTGGGAGAGGCCTATAAAGAGAAACTTTCGATCTTCTATTTGAAGGTATAGGTTTTAAAAATATTTTTTAAGGTAAATTTACCACTGAAGCAAAGTAGAACTAAAACCCACCCTTCTTGAGTGATTCTCTACTATAACTGGATGTGATAAAAATAGATATTTGGTCAATAGGCAGATCTTATGTATTTATTGCTCTGTGATTTGTGGTAAGTTATTTAGCATGTTTGAGCCTTTTTCATCTCATTTATAGTATGCTGATAGATAATATTTATCCCACCATATGTGACCATTGAATTATTGAAGGAACTTAATCATAGTAAGTACTCAAAAATGCTGGGTTTTACTCTCCTCCTTACCTGTCTGTAATCACTACCTTGCTTTTGTGGAAAAATGTATTTATACATGCATACATAAATATTCATTCATCTATTTACACACATAAACATCAATCTATTCATTCTTATATGGTCCGTTGTGTTTGTAAGTTTTTTGCCCCACATTGGTGAAGAAGCCTTTAATGTTTTCAGGGGACTGACAATACAGTGTTCCCCTCGTTTCTGTGGCTGACAGAGTTTGTCTTCTTACTTCCTATGTGATGATTATTACTGTATCAAATAAAATTAAATATTATATCTGAGGTTATTGTAGTAAAATAATTGTTCACTTGATACTTTCTATGTGTTTTAGCTATAATACCTGTCACTATGTGTACAAAGTATATAAATGATGCAGGAACATTTTATAGCATGCTTCAAATTGAGTAATTAGGAGCTGGTTGTTATCTTTTGAAGATGTGGTATGACAAATTATTGGAAGCATCTCATCAATTATAGACTTGTCTTTAAATACAACTTTGTAATTTTTTAATTTGTGTTATTAAAGGAGAGAACAAAAAAAGGATATATGACATGGAGCTAGACATTAAAAGAATTGATATTTTGGATGTCATTATCTCTTGTCATCCTCAAAAGTGCTATGTGCGCATTGAAAGATGTTACTTTAAAAAAGAAGAGGTGGACTAGAAGGCATCAACATATTCCTATCTTATGAGAACTCAAAGTCTAGGAATATATATACCAAAGACAGTAAAAAAAGAGCTATGTACAAGTACATAGTAGAACATATTTGTGTATTGTGTATTGGTTAAGAAATGGAGTTTTTCAGAGGTGGTATGCCCAATAGTTATCTAATTAGTATGGAGAATCATACTGGGAGTTCCCCATACGGTCTGGTTTGAGGGGATGAAGACTCTGATAAAATGGGAAGAGTTCCTATATATTATATATCTTCAAGTTAGTAAACCTTCAAGCAAAGCTTAAGTATAAAAACTTTCATAGATAAAAAAAAATTTTTTGGCATACCTGGAGGTTACCCTATTGTAAAAAAACAAATATGGCTTCATTCAGCATCCATTTATGAAGTCTTTATTCTGGACCAGGTAAAGTGCCAAGGTATAATTAAATTTATTCAGTAATTCACATATTTACTGGGTGATTACCATGTTCTAGGCACTTAGGATATAAACAAGGATCTTTCCTTTATAGAGTTTTTATTCCAGTAGGGGGAACACTTGACAGTAGGGAGTAAACATAAAAAATAAATAAGTGGGCAGCCCGGGTGGCTCAGTGGTTTAGTGCCGCCTTGAGCCCAGGGCCTGATCCTGGAGACCCGGGATCGAGTCCCAAGTTGGGCTCCCTGCATGGAGCCTGCTTCTCCCTCTGCCTGTGCCTCTGACTCTCTCTCTCTCATAAATAAATAAATAAAATACTTTAAAAAATAATAGATAAATAAGTTATATAGTATGTTGGAAGGTGATAAATATATGAAGAAAAAAAAAGTAAAACGTAGTAATGGGGATTAGGAGTGGATGGGAGGTGGTTTGGGCTTTTAGTTTTAAATAGGATGGTCAGGAGGCACCCGGGTGGCTCAGTGGTTGAGTACCTGCCTTTGGCTTAGTTCATGATCCAGGGTTTCTGGGATCGAGTCCTGCATTGGACTCCCCAAATGGAGCCTGCTTCTCCCTTTGTCTCTGCCTCTCTCTCCGTGTTTCTCATGAATAAATAAATAAAATCTGATAGATAAATAAATACATAGATAGATGGTCAGATATGCCTCTGAAAAGATGACTTGAGTTAGCTGTGCAGGTATCTAGGAGAAGAATGGCCCAGAGAGAATTAAGAGTTGGTATAAATCCCCTAAGAAAACATAAGTGGTGTGTTTGAGAAGCAATGAGACCAGTGTGCCCCAGCAAGGAGAGTATGGTAGAGATGCAGTCAGAGAACTAATAGGACAGAGGGGGTTCATCCAATACATAGGGTCGTATCAGCCACCATGAAGACTTGAGCTTTTACCACCTGAAATGGGGAGCAGTTATAAGGATTTTAAAGAAAGGAATGATATAATCTGACTTAAATTTTAATTTTTTTTGCAGATTTATTTTAGAGAGCACAAGTGAGGGGAGGAGAGGCAGAAGGAGAGTGAGAAAAACAGATTCCTCACTGAGCATAAAGTCCCACTGGGGTTTAGTCCCACAACCCTGAGATCATGACCTGAGCCAAAATCAAGAGTAGACCACCCGACTGACTGAGCCGCCCAGGTGCCCCTGAGTTAAATTTTAAAAAGATCTCATTGCTGATAGACTCCAAGGATAGAGCCAGGGAAAGCAAGTAGGACCATTATTGAATTTCAGTAAGCCTGGAGAAAAATGATGAGAGGCTTGGACTAGGATGATATGAAGAGAAATTGTAACAAGTGGTTGGATTCTGACTATATATGGTTATATTTGAAAGTTGATCAAACAGATTTACTGATAGATTGGATATAATGTTCCTCTCTTAAGGTAGTCAAGATATAGTGGGGGATGCAGACACATAAATAGATGAATCTTTATCACTGCAGGATGGAGATACACAAATATTTTGTAGGGGTGGGAAAATAAGTGTCTGAGAAATATTCCTGGAAGAAGTGAAACAAAGGGGAGGTTAAAAAAAGATAAAGCTTTATTTTATTTTATTTTTAAATATTTTATTTATTTATTCATGAGAGACAGAGAGAGAGGCAGAGACACAGGCAGAGGGAGAAGCAGGCTTCATGCAGGGAGCCTGATGTGGGACTCGAACCTGGGTCTCCAGGGTCAGGCCCTGGGCTGAAGGCGGCGCTAAACTGCTGAGCCACTCAGGCTGCCCAAAAAAAGATAAAGCTTTAAAGAATGTTTGGGGAAAAAAGACATTTCAAGAAGAAGTAACAACATGAACAAGGACTCAGTGTAAGAAATAGCATGGCAGGTAGGGAAAGGTGGTGGTGGAGAAGTGAATTTAGGATTGTTCGGTATGTATAAGAGAGGTAGGCAGATCATGGAGGGCCTTAATGTTATATAAAGAGGCTTGAATATTGATCTCTGGGCAAGGGGAAGCTGCTAAAGAGTTATGTGGTAAGATTTTCCTTTTAGGCTGTGTTGTGTAGGGATTACACGTGAGGGGATCAAGAAGCAAGATGATGGTTTTATTTTAAATCATTAATGAATCTACACAACCTTTAATGATTCCAAAAGGAAGCATTAAACTAAATTTACTTTCTTTAACAAAAATTATTTGGAGCAGGTTCACATTAGCAGTATAACTACAATTGTGTTATATGTATATTTTCACACATATAAATCTAAACCCTACGCACCAAAAAAAGCCACATCTGTGGCTTTTTATTCCTGGTTATTAGTTATCAAAACCAAGGATTTAATTTGTGTACTTTTACTATATAATGAATGTTTATGTGATCTTTTTCTTACATTTCATTGAAGATAATGTTAATTGATAAAGAAGATACTTACAAATCAGGTTTTTTTCTAATTTGTCTATTACCAACATAAATGGTTTCTTTCTCAGTAGAGTGAAGAGTATTATCATTCAGAAAAATCAGATGACCTATCTCTTAACTAACAACAACAAAAAGCTCCAAGGTGTATTGTATCAGCCAGTTCTAGGATACAAAAGCTGTTCAGTACTTTGTGCTTTGTGCAAAAAGGGTAGCTGCTATTTAACCTGTCCCAAAGGCATGTGTGGTTGTACCATAAACCTAGCATGGCGCCTGCTTGTCTGACCTTAGAAATGAATGTTTAGAAGAGTTAGTATATATGTGCTATATTTTTGCGTGTATTCACTGACTTCCTAGTACCAAAGAAAATCAGTATGACAACTTGGAGTACTGCAACAAAATAAATATGGTAAAAACTTGGCCCCTATTATGAATAGGGGCACAGAATAGATACTCTATATATATTATTTTGTTTAATCCTTAAGACCCTTGGAAAGCTGAGGCTAAAGTAAGTTCATACTAGAAAGTGGTGAAGCAGGATGTTAATCAAGTAGCAGTATGAATGACAAACAGGAAAAGAGAGTGCAGCAGTGATGTAGGGGCAAACAGCTCAAACTGCTACTCTCTTGGACTTCAGGTGCTAGACCTTAGAGACCTGGATCTTGAGAGGATTTGTTGTAATTTAAAGCAAGGATAGAGTTGAAATAATCCTTTTAAATCTTTGATTAATTTTAGAAATAGGTAACAAAGAGACATGCTACAACATTTTTTAAGTGTGAGAAGTTATCTATCTGGGTACCTGGGTGGCTCAGTGGTTGAGCATCTGCCTTTGGCTCAGGGCATGATCCCAGAATCCTGGGATTGAGTCGCACATCCGGTTCCCTGCAGGGAGCCTGCTTCTCCCTGTGCTTGTGTTTCTGCCTCTCTCCATGTGTCTTAAATAAATAAATAAATAAATAAATAAATAAATAAATAAATAAAATCTTTTTAAAAAAAGAAAGAAAAGAGAAGTTATCCATCCCATACTATGTCCCAGCCACTCATTTCCCCTCCCCAGAGGCAGTTGCTGTGACATTTCTGAGTCCTTTTTAGAGATAATCTTCATGTATACAAGCATGAATGTGTGTGTGTGTACACTGTTCTGCAGCATGCTTATTCCCTTTTGCTCTGTTGCCTTTATTATTTTTTTGCTTGACATATATTAACATGTAGCCGAATATGGCATTTCTTAGACATTCCTTTTTTTCAATTAATTAATTTATTTTTTAATTTTTATTTCTTTTATGATAGTCACACACACAGAGAGAAAGAGGCAGAGACACAGGCAGAGGGAGAAGCAGGCTCCTTGCACCGGGAGCCAGGCGTGGTATTCGATCCTGGGTCTCCAGGATCGCACCCTGGGCCAAAGGCAGGCACTAAACCACTGCGCCACCCAGGGATCCCTTAGACATTCCTTATAGTTTCCCTCTGTGTCATTTTTAAGTGCTGTTTTCTTTTCCTGAAATGTCCCTTCTTTTTGTCTTTTCAAATCCTAGCCAACTCACAGCCCACGTTTTCTGTAAAGCCTTTTTAACTTTCTTTTGTGCTATACAATCTTTAAAATCTATATATATTTGTGTTGTAAGTTGCCAACCATATGTAATAAGTATCTGGATGATAAAAACCACATTCATTTTTTTTTTGTTTTTGTTTCCATGTTCTCCCTACATAATGATGTGGATATATTACTTAGAAAATATTTGCTGGGGATAGTAGTAATATGAAACTACCACAGGTTACCAAACCTGAATAAGCATTTTTTTTTAAGATTTTATTTATTTATTCATGAGAGACACACAGAGAGAGAGAGAGGCAGATACACAGGCAGAAGGAGAAGCAGGCTCCATTCCATGCAGGGAGCCTGACGTGGGTGGGACTCCATCCCGGGCCCCAGGACCACACCCTGGGCTGATGGCGGCGCTAAACCGCTGAGCCCCCCTGGCTGCCCAGCATATTTTGAACATAGCCAATCAATTGTGAATTCTGTTGCTATTTTAACGTATTAGTTTTTACTAATTATTTTTAAAGAAAATTTTATATAAATACCAAAACCCTTCATCTTCTAACACCTTGAATTATTTTTTATTTTCACATGGACATCTTATTTTTTCATTATGTATGTTTTCTTTTTGTTTATTTTGTTCTTTTCTACCCCTCCCTCTGTTGCATAGAGAAGCTGCAACCAGTTTTGCAATTTTCCAAGTCACAAACGGATGTCTATAATGACAGTACTAACTTGACATGCCGAAACGGACATCTCCAGTCAGGTGGGTTTAGGTTAACTAACATGTAAAATAATAAAGCTTGCATGCAGATTAGAGTCCTGCGTAACCTGATAATGTTGATTTGATTTTTTAATGGTAGATTTGGCTGACTTGTTTTCACAGGGCTATGTTGAAAAAAGTAAGTTGATACGCCATATCATTCATGGTGTATAAATATGTAACAGATATAACCATTCTCAACATGCTTTATTTGCTTATTTTGCAACCTTCCATTTTTGAGATTAAAAAATATAAAGGTTCATTTTTCTAAATTATTAAAATATTCTTTTCTTCCTATTGTATTTTCAGCTTTTGCAGGTTTTTTTGTTTTATGTATACCTGTACCAAGTTCTCATGAGATAGTGTGTTTTTAGGGCAGAAATTTTAATTTCTCTGTTATATATCAATTTTAATTGCACAGCAATTTTCATATAAACTACATATGAATGTTTTATCATAGTACCTATTAGGAAAAATTTGAGGCTGAGTTCACATAGCGAGGGGTAACATTAGAATACTATTTCAGTATATGTGCTACCAAAGTGAGCACACATTAGATAGAATACTATTAATTTTCTATGGGTTAAATTTGTTTTCCATGAACTTTGGGAATCTTACAGAAGATTACATGCTTTTTTGTTTTGTTTGGGTGGGGCAGGGGGAACCTTCATTTCCTAAGTTTTCTGACATCTTGGCTAGTTTTATTGGTGACTTTTTCAGCATTAATTTTCTGTCCAGGGCTTAAATTTTCTTAAAGTAAATATTGTTTTGTTCATTTTGTAACAGAAAAACCTTAGTTTAGACCTTACGACAACTGCCTTCTTCATTCATATGTAATACAGAACTTTTAAGACTTTAATAGAGAAGAATTACAGTTAGTGGATTTCAATGGACTGGAGACAGTAAGTCATCAAATCTTCTCCTCTGGCTTTACCTCCCTCTTAAAGGAGTTCTCACTTTGGTTTAGTCTTCCAGTACAGAGCCCCATGTCACTGGCTATATTCCTTTTCCTATTCCTTCCTGAACATGATTTAAAACACTATTTCGAGTATAGAAGTAGTTTGCCTGTTTCTCTTAACACAGATGTGAAGAGCTGAGATTTGTTTAAGGAACTTTAAAAAAATATAAGAATGTACCACATATAAATAATTCAGTTTACAAGATATAAATTTGAGATCTTAGTAATCCTACCAAGGTAAATAACAAAAATTTTCTAGCCCTGAAGAGTGGTATGCCTTTCTTTTATTATCTTGCTTCTCTTCCACTTCATTCCATATATGAGATCCCACGGTTTTGTTTTGCCATGCAAAACTTTATTTTCCTGGGATCTATATTAAAAAAAAAATCACCGTATCTTATTTTAAATACCTAGTAATCTGACTGTTCTATTCTGTTTTCTTGTTGGGGGACATATTGACTGCACAGCTAATTTATGCAGCACTGGTAATTGATACCCATTGAGCCCTAGTCAATGAGCTGGCTCATTCAAGCCTATTTTACTGGTGTCACCCACTTCTGGAATATTCTGTGATATTTCATTTAGATGAATTACTTCGTCTCTCTTAGGAAATAGTTATGCCGAAGTCCACTTACTACTTCAGTATCTTACCTACAATGTCTAGTTTTCAACCCAAAATTACTAGACATGTAAAAAAATAAGAAAGTATGACCATTACTCAAGAAAAGAATTAGTCAATAGAAACTGACTCTTGACTGGGCCCAGATGTTGATGTAGCAAAGACTTCAAAGCAGCTTTTATAAATATGTTCAAAGAATTGACATATGGCATCAGTTAACAAACCTGCAATTTTAGGACATAACATAAACTACACAATAAAAATAATGGAAATTCTAAAGTTGAAAAGTACAGTTGCTGAAATAAAAAATTTACTAGATAAGTTCACCAGCAGATTGGAAATGTCAAATGAAAGATTCAGTGACTCTGAACCTAGATCAATAGAAACTACTAAATCAGGTGACTCCTACTTTGTCAGAGAGCAGATTAGTAATTGCCTAGGTCGGGGCAATAAGGGATGGAGTGCAAATGAATATAAGAAAACTTGGCTACAATGGAAACATTTCATATCTTGATTTTAGTGGCTATTTGATCTTTAAATGCATCTTTATAAACTTATCAAATTATACATTTTAAATGGATATAATTTATTATTCATAGATTGTAACTTAAATGGTTGATGAAAAAATAAATACTGAAAGGCTTGTAAAGAAAAATAGTATTCTTCCTACCTCTTCCTAATTTCTTCCTGCCTTCACCCCTAGTCTGGCTTCTCATATAATGTCTCACTCTATTTTTTGTTTCCTACTATGTTTCTAGATATTATGCTTAGGTTGCTATTACTGATCGGTATTCTATTTTGATGTGCATTGACTTCTTATTCAGTAAAAGACGGTTTAATTTTTATACCAACATTACCCTTCATCTTCTGATATATAAATATCACTATTTTTAGTTATACTGAAAAATCAAATTTAACATTATTATGATTTAGTATTATATACCTAAAACTAAATAGTATATTCTAATTATGCTTCCTTTTTTTAGTTTTTCCTTCCCACAGATTCCTAATTTCTTTGTTTGCTTTTTTAACTAAAAGACCTTCTTTAGGGCAGCCCTGGTGGCTCAGTGGTTTAGTGCCGCCTTCAGCCCAGGGTGTGACCCTGGAGACCCGGGATCGAGTCCCATGTCGGGCTCCCTGCATGGAACCTGCTTTTCCCTCTGCCTGTGTCTCTGCCTCTCTCTCTCTCTCTCTGTGTGTCTCTCATGAATAAATAAATAAAATCTTCAAAAAAAAAGACCTTCTTTAGTAGTTCTTTCAGTGAAAATTTGTAGATAGTAACCTTTCTTAGTCTTTCTACTGCCTGAAATATCCTTATTCTGATGTGACAGGTTACCAGGATATAAAATTGATAAAGGTTAACACTTTTTTCTTCCTATAGCATTTTGAACATAATCCATTGCCTACTGACCTTTCTTCTTTTTAATGAAAAGTCTCCTATCATTCTCGTAGTTCCTTGTGGAATTTCCTATTCACTTAGTCTCAGGACTGTATATTTACTGTCTGAAGAAATTCTTTCCCACTTTCCTTTTTTTCCTCTAAAATGAATGATCTTTATCTTTAGCCTAGACAGATTTTGCTCTTTTTCATGTCTTTGCTTTTGCTTATTGTTATTCCCCTTTCTAGATTGCTTTTCTGCTTTCATTTAGGGTTGCTATTCATTAGTTCCTTGAACATATGATTCAGAACTTTACATTTATTTATAGCCAAAAGCTCTTGATCACCTTGCTCTATTCTGAAGCCCTCTTCCTTTGAATTTCATTAAAACACTTTAAGGGATTTGATAAACACAAAAATAAGGTTTTTGTCTTTTTTCTAGGCTATTGTAATTTGATTACTGATTTAACATTTGTCTTTACTGTAATCATTGTTATTAGTAACTGATGTTTGTTATGTAGTTTATAAAAATATTAGAAGCAATGATATTTGAACATTTGAAAGCCTGTAGTTTATGTAGAAGTACAATACAGATAAGTCAGGTATACTTTTAGGTTTAATTGATGGTGTTTCATATGTTTATCTACATACATACAGCATGCAGAATACTTGGCATATTAAAAACCACATCTTTATACTCCTTAAATTAAAAATGATTATTTCTAGAAACTCTTTTGGTGGGCACAGACTGTGGACTTTCATACTATTTTACAGTCTTAATTTGGAACCAAGGTAGTACAGTACTCCTCCACCCCATACAACATAACTCTAATCCTTTACTGCATTTTGTTTCTTGACAATATTTGGCAACTTTGTTTGGTAATCTTTTTATATCCTCTTCCTGTCCCCACAAATAAACATGTTTCTTCTTATTACAAATACATATTCCTTATGAGAAAATCAAAATAATACATCAGGAAAAGGAAAAACATAAATAACTATAGTCTTGTCCACCAAGTGATAACCCTGATGAACATTTAAGTAGATATTCTAATTAAAATCTTATTTTGAAATATTGCTAATGTAAAAAATAGTTTTGCAAATTTGTATCCATCTTTATTTTATATTATTTAGCCACAGTTTTCTAACCATGATGGTTTTACTTTTTCCTTGATAGAAAGTGGAGCTGTTCCAAAGAGAAAAGATCCCTTAACACACACTAGTAATTCACTGCCTCGTTCAAAAACAGTTATGAAGACTGGATCCACAGGTTTGTCAGGCCACCACAGAGCACCTAGTTGTAGTGGCTTATCCATGGTTTCTGGAGTGAGACAGGGACCTGGTCCTGTAACTGGAACTCATAAGGTATTTGGAGACAGTCACTTTTAATTGCTATGCTTTTGCAAATAGACAATTTTGAACACGATATGCTTGCTTGAGATTATTAGAAGTACTTTGTAATACCTTAGAGAATTGATAAGTTTCTACAAAGTTGAATATAGTTTTCTTCTTTAAATCTGCAAAGACAATTTGCTATTAAAATCAAATCTTATTTTAACTTCTTTGGACCTAATTAGGTATTTTGTTATAAGTTGCTTGTCTAATCTATTTTATATAATGCTATATAGTTAATTTTAAATTTGTTATTTTAATTGTTTAATGTGTTTTATAACATTAAACATAGAGTTTTGTTCAAATCCTAACAATCAAAATTATATGACTGAATTGTCAGAGGCCTTTTTTATTTTATGGTACCTAAATCTCTCTGGATGAAATGCCCTATATACCCACTTCATGCCAAATGTAGTTCTGTAGTGAATACATTTTACCTTGAAGTGGATATACAATTTTGGGGTTTTTTAATATCCTTTTTCCTATATTTAAAACTTTTAATTCTGTGAATTTTAAGGCCAATTTTAACTTACTTATGACAAGTGTTAATGTTAGGTTGTATTTTTACGTTGCAATTTTGTGTCCTTTAAGAGTACACCAAAAACAAATAGAACAAATAAGCCCTCTACCCCTACAACTGCTGCTCGTAAAAAGAAAGACTTGAAGAATTTTAGGAATGTGGACAGCAATCTTGCTAACCTTATAATGAACGAAATTGTGGACAAGTAAGTTGCCATCTAAAGTGTTTTATTTAACAGTTTTTAGTTTTGAATTTATACAATATATCATGAGTAAAATAGAGTATCTTCTCTAATGTACATAATTTTTATGGTGGTTTTTAGTTACTGTAAATGTAGAAAACTATTGTTTTACTAATTAAACTATAATTTCACAGTTAACATAAAAATAATTGTATCTCAAAAAATAATTGTATTTCATTAAGTTTAAATTTAATATTATAATAACTGAATCATATTTTGTCATAGAGCTAACTAAAATTCTATTTCTTAGTGGAACAGCTGTTAAATTTGATGATATAGCTGGGCAAGAATTGGCAAAACAAGCCTTGCAAGAAATTGTTATTCTTCCTTCTCTGAGGCCTGAGGTAAACACTTTATATTACCATTTTCCTATAACATCATTCATTATTTTTTTCAGCATTCATTATTGAATTCATATTAGCAGTAATCTGTGAGTTACACTAGATAGAAATGATTAATGCATGTAACAGATTGGATGTTTTTAAAAAGAAAGAAACATTAGCAATTGATGCTGACTGGTTATTATAGGAGTGACTATATAGGTTCCTAATGACTATCAAGGTTCCTAATAACCAATCCATTTTTAACATTTAGAGAAAAAAGTAGGTAATAGAAAATAAGTTTTACATTAAGGTAAGAGAGATTTAAAATTATGAGCCAGAAATCATACTGGAGAAAAGGGAAGTTAGGATTAAATTAATAAGTTTAAGTTTGAAGAATTTTATCAAAGTATAGTTGAAATACAATGTTATAGGAGTTGCTGGTGTATAACATAATGATTTGACAATTTTGTACATTAAGTTATACTCACTACATGATAAGTATAGTTAACCATATGTCACCGTACAATATTACTGCAATATTATTATTTTTTTGATTCTTTATTTATTTATTCATGAGAGAGAGAATGAGAGGCAGAGGCACATCCAGAGGGAAAAGCAGGCTCCATGCAGGGAGCCTGATGTGGGACTCAATCCTGGGTCTCCAGGATCACACCCTAGGTTGATGGCAGCACTAAATTGCTGAGCCACCCGGGCTGCCCCTGTAATATTATTGACTATAGTTCCCATGTTGTACTTTTCATCCCCATGAATTATTATTTTGTAACTAGAGATTTGTATGTCTTAATTCCCTTCACCTATTTTGCTCATCCCTTTAGCTCCCTCCCCTCTGGCAACCACCAGTTCTCTGTTTTTATGATTTTGTTTCCATTTTGTTTGTTCTGATCATAACAATAAAAACAACAAAATGGTAATTATGTGAGGAAAAGAATGTATTAACCTCATTGTGGTAAATATTTCACAATTTATTTGTGTGTCAAATTATATTGCACATGTTAAAATTACACAATGTTATATCTCAATAAAGCTGGAAATTTTTAAAAACCAAAAAATGCTGAGTAATTAAGAAATGTGTCTTTGGCGAAAGAATGGACAAATAGATCAGTAGAACAGAGAGCCCAGAAATACAGAGACACAAGTATTATCAATTGAAAAAGGCACAAAAGCAATTTGATGGAGAAAGGATAGTATTTTCCACAAAACAACAACTAAACATCCATGTGAAAAAAAGTTCTAGACATATACTTTACACCTTTCACATAAGTTAATTCAAAATTGGTCACAGACCTAAATGTAGAAGGCTAACTATAAAACTCCTAGAAGATAGCATAGGAAAAAATCTAGGTGATCTTGGTTTGAGGATGGCTTAGTAGATACAACACCAAAAACATGATCCTTGAAAGAAAAAAATTGTTAAGTTGAAATTCATGAAAATTAAACACTTTTCTGTGAAAGACATTTTTTTTTTTTAGATTTTATTTATTTATTCATGACAGACATAGAGAGAGAGGCAGAGACACAAGCAGAGGGAGAAGCAGGCTCCATGCAGGGAGCCCAATGTGGGACTCGATCCCAGGACTCCAGGATCATACCTTGGGCCGAAGGCAAGTGGCTAAACCACTGAGCCACCCAGGGATCCCCTGTGAAAGACATTGTTAAGAGAATGAGAAGACAAATCACAGACAAGGAGAAAGTCTTTGCAAAACATTATTTGATATAGGACTGGTATTGAAAAATATACAAAGAACTTTTAAAACTGAACAATAAGAAGACAAATGACCCAGGTAAAGTGTGGACAAAAAATATGAACAGACACTTTACCAAAGAAGATACACAGATGACAAACAAGCATTTGAAAAAATAGGGAAGCCTGGGTGGCTCGGTGGTTTGGTGCCTGTCTTCAGCCCAGAGCGTGATCCTGGAGACACGGGATCGAGTCCCACATCAGGCTCCCTGAATGGAGCCTGCTTCTCTCTCTGTTTGTGTCTCTGCCTCTCTGTGTCTCTCATGAATAAATAAATAAAAATAAAATCTTTAAAAAAAAGAAAAAAGAATGCTCAACATCATTCATCATTAGGGAATTACATGTTAAACAATAGTAGGATTCCACCTCACATTTATTAAAATGGCTACAATCCAAAACACAGTACCAAATGCTGGTGTGGATGTGGAGCAGTAGGGACTCTACTCATTACTGAAGGGAAGGCAAAATGGTACAGCTATTTGGAACACGCTATGACACTTTAATTTTTTTAAATTTTTATTTATTTATTTATTTTAATTTGAGAGAGAGAGTGCGCATGAGAGCAAGCATGAGCAGTGGGGGAGGGCAGAAGGAGAGGGGAAAGCAGACTCCCCACTGAGCGAAGAGCCTGACATGGGCCCCAGGATCATGACCCGAGCTGAAGGGAGATGCTTAACTGACTGAGCCATCCAGGTGCCCCAACACTTTTCTTAACAAGCAAACATTTGGTTTTACCTCATTCCACTGAGGAATTTACCACACTTTGTCAGTTCTCCCTCTACAAAATTTTGTGTCTTCTGTTGTCTCCTTTCTTATTCTTTTTGAAGATTTATATTTTCTTTATTCATTTACTATTATTTTGGTGAGATTTCAAAGGAAGTAGAGAAGCATACCTATGTTTAGTATGTCTTTGTTCAGCTAATTTGCTTTCTTTTCTCAATGAAATTTTTAAAAATGTTGTTTTCTTAATAATTATACCAATTTATTGATTACGTGCTCTCTTCAGAGCTCTGACAAGTTCTGTTTGGGAGGATGCTACAGAAAAATGGTGCTTTTTAGATAACAGTACTTAAAGTGTCTGGAAAAAAAGTCTCCAGAATTATAGTTGTGAACTAAAGTAAATGTTTTTAGTTGTTCACAGGGCTTAGAGCTCCTGCCAGAGGATTGTTACTCTTTGGTCCACCTGGAAATGGGAAAACAATGCTGGTAAGAATTCTTTTAAAATTTGAGAGTTCTATTTAGATAATTAGAAATAGTAATATGAAAAAAGGAAACTTTACATTGTCCCTGAGTTATTTTTAGAATTTGCTTTTTACTCTAATATACTTAAGTTTTGTTTTGTTTTTTAAGATTTTATTTACTCATTCATGAGAGACAGAGAGAGAGGCAGAGACATAGGCAGAGAGAAGCAGGCTCCATGCAGGAAGTCCGATGTAGGATTCAATCCCGGGATGCCAGGATCATGCCCTGAGCCAAAGGCAAATGCTCAACCATTGAGCTACTCAGGTGCCCCTTTTTTCAGTACATTGAAAACAATGTATTTTTGCCCAAATTTTTACTGGGATCTGGATACCTTTCTCCCGCATAACTATTCTAGAGGGGAAAAGTAAACAGGAAAAGAGTTTAGCTGTTTCTCTCTCTCTCTCCAAACAGTTATCTTTCTATAATTAAGAAGAGACTTACACCCTTTTTGTAACCTCTCCTTATCCATTCTGCCTTAGAAAAAATAAAGAGAATTGAAAGAAGCATAGCTCTTCCTAGACCTTGTCCTCATTGCTGAGAAGGAAACACATTGATTGCCATCCGTCAGGAACTGTGTCATATTTTAGATTTTTGGAAATCTTTTCTGTTGTTTAAATTGATCAAATGTGGTTATCTTTTTAAAGGAAGATACTGAATATAATATTTGCCCTTGTGATTTTTAAGGCTAAAGCAGTAGCTGCAGAATCCAATGCAACCTTCTTTAATATAAGTGCTGCAAGTTTAACTTCAAAATATGTGAGTGTTCTTTTTCTAGTACTGTTTTATGCTACTAAGTGTTGCTAAGTATAAATGCTAATAACACTACACAAAAAATATTTTTGAGTTTTATATCTATTTAGATATGATGAAAATCACTCTTCAAAATAGAAAGTTAGGCTCATTTAAAGTTAGAATTGTGCTGTCAAATACTGTTGTAGTTTGCTGGGGCTGTGTGACAAAGTACAATAAACTGGCTGGCTTAAACAACAGAAATTTATTGTCTTAACAGTTTTGAAGGGTAGAAGTACAAGATCCGATATTGGCAAGGTTTTCATTTTTATAATGTAATTAAAAGTAACTGTAACAAGATACCTCTTTTCCTGGTTACATTTTATTTTCTATGTGAAGGTTTATAAATAAAATTGTTATTAAAATAAGTGTACTGAGCATTATACACTGGAAAACACTATCTTGAAAGTTAGGGGCTAGGGATTCCAGCCTAACTTTTGGATATTGGACTGGCCTTAAGAAAATACTGCTTTTAGGCCTCACTTCATTTATAAAGTGTTGATGTTGTAAGAAGTGATCTCCTGCAGTTCCTTCCAGCTCTGTGAATATTTGTTTTAATGATTCTAAATCTGAGGCCATTTTTTTAAATGAAATTTTCAATTAAAAAAATAGATGCCAGCTAGAGGTTGGAAGAGTTTTTACAGTAGATTAGCCCAAACCTCATGACCCTTTCATTAGCTGCTTTTAGTGATAGAATGGTTTTAGTATTGTCTCAGCCCCTGGAATGTTTCAAGGGATGTTCATAGACCTCTTGGGCTACCTAGAAATATTTTTATACTTATTGACAATGATATTGTGAGAATGAATTTAAGTAAGTTTAGTTTAGGAGAGCACTTTCCAACTTACCTGGTTCTATAAATATACTCTGCAACTAAGGGCTTAATAAATAAGTATCTCTTTTTCTCCCAAAATATTCCACCTTCTCACTAGTTATACCCATAGTTGCTATTCCATTTTCAAGACTTAGGAATGCAGGGTTAAGCAGAATAGAGATATATTTAATTTTTTAAAGTACTTAACAGGCCAGATCCAGGTTTCAGCACCAAAAACATAAAGTACTTACCAGACTGTATTAAATACAAAATATTCTGATTTTTTTAAATTATGAGACAATTCGGTAACTCCCCTCTCCCAATTCCTTAAACCAAATCTTTGTTGCAAAGAAAGGAAATTAAATTCCTAGGTTCTAGACTTTAGATCATGAAATTTAAACAGATGGAATAATGTTGTATTGTATGTGTATTACAATATATAATATCTTGTTTCAGGTGGGAGAAGGAGAGAAATTGGTGAGAGCTCTTTTTGCTGTGGCTCGAGAACTTCAGCCTTCTATAATTTTTATAGGTAAGAATATGTTTTATAACTAAGTTGAATATTTATGAAATTTCCCCCTCCGAATTTGAGAGGTGTAATAGGAAAGATTATTCAAAAGGAAAAAGTTTTAATCTAAAAATGGCAAATTTACACACTATCTAATGAATTGAGTAGGACCCAGGATATTAATAACTTAAGTAGTAAACTAGATTAATCTCAGATGACTCATATAGCTTGGCTTTTAATTAAAGTTTTATCTTTGTATTTCCTTTAGATGAAGTTGATAGCCTTTTGTGTGAAAGAAGAGAAGGAGAGCATGATGCTAGTAGACGTCTAAAAACTGAATTTCTAATAGAATTTGATGGTGTAAGTATTGATTATGGTATTTCTAAGATGGTAGCATTTTAGTGTATATATTTTCCTAAATGACCTAGATTAGAAATACAGATATCTTTATTATGTATCTGTTATTACTTTATCTAAAAGTACTGAAAAAATTTTTGGCTTATAGGTACAATCTGCTGGAGATGACAGAGTGCTTGTAATGGGTGCAACTAATAGGCCACAAGAGCTTGATGAGGCTGTTCTCAGGTAGGGAGATTATGTAGAAACACATCAGTTTCAGATGTATTTACTCCTGTGTTCATCTCACATATCTATTTCCTTCACTCTTAATTTGAAGACTAAATTCATTATTTTGCTCCTGGTATCCATCCTTTGGCCTCTTGTCATCAACTGAAGTTTTTTGTTTTTTTTTTAAGATTTTATTTATTCATTCATGAGAGACACAGAGAGAGAGAGAGAGAGAGAGAGAGAGAGAGAGGCAGAGACACAGGCAGAGGGAGAAGCAGGCTCCTCACAGGGAACCTGATGCGGGACTCGAGCCTAAGTCTCCAGAATTATGCCCCAAGCCGAAGGCAGACACCCAGCCACTAAGCCACCCAGGCATCCCATTGTCACCAACTAAAGATTTTGAAGACAGAACCGACATACCACGAAAACAAGTTTACATTTTGTGGTTTCAGGAAAATTGCTTATTTCTTCTGATTAGGATTAAATTATTTTAAAACTCCAGAATTTATTCTTACTCTCTTTTCCTGGACTTCATGAGAAGTCAGTAAAAGCAGGCAGGATTCATGGGAACTGTGTTCTGTGTTGTTGTGTGATTGAACGAATTTATTCCCTTCCTACAGGGAGGACAGTTAGACTCAGCCTAAAATTCTTCGGCCTCCCTTTCTTTTCCTGAGGTATTGATTACATTGCCCCATTGTTTCTAGGATTAAACATTATAGTGTAAAAGTCTGAAGCCAGCCTGCTTTTATTCACATTTATGGATTAACTTGATTTTTTTTCCTCCTTACTAGTTATATTTAACCACTAAAATCTAGTTATTTGAAATATGTTGATCTGTGTTTATTCTGGGATTTGGTGTTTGTTTAAATTGATAGTTTGAAACCTCTTGTTTTAGGAAAGTAATTTTGAATACTATCTTGAATTTTTATTTTCCTAATTCGTTCTTCTGTTTTTTTTTCTTTCACACACAGTTTATGCATTATGTTGCATCTTTTTGCCTTCCATATCTTTAATTTTCTTTCTAATCCTTTATAACTCTTAGGTCTTGTTTTGTTCCATTTTATTTGTTGTATTTATTGGTTACTGGGTTTGTGACTGATCTTTGTGCTACTACTTTTGTAACCTGTGTCTGTGGTGGTTTTCTCCTTTGTTTTCATCGCTTTCTTGATCTCTATAATCCCGTTTTTCTTCTTCTTTTGTCTTATTTCCTTGAGCTTTTGTAAGTTATAGCCTTCAGCCCTTATATCTCATTGAGTTCTTGTTTAATTAGGAGACTTCTTTTTGATTAAATTATTTCATGGAAAGATATATGGTCACAATTTAAATTTGTTCTATGGCAGAATCTTCTTGCGTATATTCTCTGTTTTATATTTATTGTAATCTTTTCTCTCTTTTTTGGCACTTTAAAGAAATTATTACCTGTTTTGCTCACTGTTCTCATTTGAATAAAGGGAGTTTTCTTAGAAAGCCTAGTTTTAGTGATATTATAGGAGAAGAGCTAGTAAATTAAGATACTGAGCAAGTGTCTTGTCCTATGAATAGCCTGGACTAACAGGCAGTCTCCTTGAGTCACCATCAAATCCTACTTGATAAAGATTAGTCAGTGCAAGATAGCTTGTAATCTTCTGAGATGTCTTGATGTCTTCTTACAAAAGTGGTATGTCTTTGAGTTTCTTTTTTCAGCCTCAATATTCTTGCCATTCCTCTGCTCCTGACTAGGTTTCACATGATTTGCAGAGCCATTTTTCACATGCTGGTTTAAATATGGGAGGCTCTGGAACACCTGGGTGGCTCAGTGGTTGAGTGTCTGCCTTTGGCTCAAGGTGTGATATGGGTTGGGGGATCAAGTCCCACATCAGGCTCCCTGTGAGGAGCCTGCTTCTCCCTCTATGTCTCTGTCTCTGTGTTTCCCATGAATAAATAAAATCTTTAAAAAGATAAAAAATAAAAATAATAAATATGGGAAGTTGGCTTTTTATTAATCCTCCGAGAATGCTCTGTTTCCTTTAGAATACCCTGTGCTGATAGCCACACCTAGAATCTGCAGTAGAAGATCCTGTGTCATCCTCCTTCATCAGTATCATTTTCACTGCCCTAGGCAGCCCTTCTTCATTCACTTTAGTTGTATAAATATTACCTGAGTTTGTTGATGGTGGAGTTTACATTTCTGTTTCAATGGTCCTTGTTTGTTTTAGTTAAGTTTTTAGAAGGTAGCAGAGATTTCTTTATTCCATTTCTTTTTTTTTTCTTTAAAGATTTTATTTATTTATTCATGAGAGACACACAGGGAGAGAGAGAAGCAGAGACACAGGCAGAGGGAGAAACAGGCTCCATGCAGGGAGCCCGATGTGGACTCGATCGCGGGTCTCCAAGATCATGACCTAGGCTGAAGGCAGCGCTAAACCGCTGAGCTACCCGGGCTGCCCTATTCCATTTCTTATATCAGATATTTTGTTTGTTTTAAAACATTCATGCTATTGAAAACATACATATAGGAGCACATGAGTGGCTCAGTTGGTTGAGCGTCTGATCTTGATTTAAGCTCAGGTCATGGTCTTAGGGTTGTGAGACTGGGCCTCACATTGGGCTCTGCTCTCAATGTGGATGGAGTCTCCCTGGGATTTCCTCTCACTCTCTTTTCCTTCCTTTCTCCCTTGACTCCTCTTCTGTTCCCTCATGTGCTTGCACGCACTCTCTCTCTCTCTCTCTCTGTCTAAAAAAGAAAAGATACACATACATAAATGGTTACTTTAATTCTGACAATTTTGAATTAAAGATTTTTTATTTTTTTATTTTTTTTTTTTTTATTTTTTATTTTTATTTTTTTTTAAATTGAAGGTGTTTTTTTTTTGTTTTTTTTGTTTTTTTATTTATGATAGTCACAGAGAGAGAGAGAGGCAGAGACACAGGCAGAGGGAGAAGCAGGCTCCATGCACCGGGAGCCCGATGTGGGACTCGATCCCGGGTCTCCAGGATCGCGCCCTGGGCCAAAGGCAGGCGCCAAACCGCTGCGCCACCCAGGGATCCCTGAATTAAAGATTTTTTAAACAGTATCTAGAGAGTTTTAAAAAAGTAACTCAAGGGGTGCCTGGCTCACTCAGTCAGTAAAGCATGTGACTTCTGATCTTGGGGTTATAAATTTGAGCCCCATGTTGGGATTACTTCAAAATAAAATCTTAAAAAAAAACAAGTAACTCAAAATAACTTCACACTGATGAGTACACTATAACGCATTCAAATACTTTGAGTATTAAAGTTTTGTTTTTTTGTCATTTGCTACTTGAACTGAGTTACCTTTAAATTCAAGGTAAATTCTGAAATTGTTTGAATCTTTTTTTAGGCGTTTCATCAAACGGGTATATGTGTCTTTGCCAAATGAGGAGGTATGTATCTATGTTTGAATTTTTTTTTTTAACACAGAAACAAGACCTACCATCTTGACAATATTGATTTTCCAATCATTAGTACAGCCACACTGGAAAACAGTTTGGCAATTTCTTTTTTTTTTTTTTTTTTTTTTTTTTTTTTTTTTTTTTAGTTTGGCAATTTCTTAAAAAGATAAATGTAAACTTAACCATAAGACCCAATAATTCCTTTCCTAAGAATCTGCCCAAGACAGATGAAAACATATGTCTAACACAAAGACATGTATAAGAATTTTTAGATTAAAAAAAAAAGAATTTTTAGATTTATAAATAATAGCAAAGAACTAAAAATCTAAGATCTAATTAGAGAATGGGTAAACAAATCTGTTGTGTGCATTTAATTGAATACTGTTTAACAATAGGTATTTGCTAGGATTCAGGTATTTATACATGGTATATAATATAGAAAAACCTCCAAAACATACTAAATGAGAAGACACCAGGTATAAAAGATAATCTATCATATGGTTCCACTTGTATGGATTGTCCAGAAAAGGCAAATTTCTAGAAAACAAAGGAAATTGTTTGCAGAGTTTAGGGGTAGGAGTGGGGATTAACTGCAAACAGACATAAGTGAACTTTATTTAGAGTGATAGAAATGTTCTAAAAGTGGTCATGGTGATGGTTGCACAGCTATATATTTATTAAAAGTCATTGAATTATACATTTAAAATGGGGAGATTAATGTTACATGAATTCATTCCTCTATAAAAGTGTTTATTAAAAATGGTGATTGTCGAGGCACCTGGGTGGCTCAGTGGTGTAAGCATCTGGCTCTTGGTTTCTGCTTAGGTCATGAGATCAAGCCCTGCATCAGGTTCTGCACTCAGCCACAGAGTCTACTTAAGACTCTCTTTCCCTCTTCCTCTGCCCACCCCTGCCCCGCCCCATGCTCTTAAGCATTCTCTCTCTTAAATAAATGAATCTTTAGAAAAAAATAAAAATATTTAAAAAATTAAAAGTTGTGGTTGTCTAGCCCAAACATTTAACATCCTTGATAGCAGCAGCTACTTCCTTAGTGCTTTATTTGGATTATCTTTAAGTCTCAAGAACTCTCAAAAAATGGTGGTTGGTTTGTTTGTTTATTTATTTATTTATTTATTTATTTATTTATTTATTTATCTTTAAAGATTTTATGTATTTAATTGAGGGAGAGTGAGTGAGCACTAGGGGGCAGGGACAGATGGAGAGAGAGAAGCAGATTCCCCGGCTGAGGAGAGAGCCCAGTGTGGGGCTTAATCCCAGGACCCTGAGATCATGATCTGAGCTAAATAAAGGCCATGCCTAACCAATGGAGCCACCCATGTGCCTTGCAAAATGGTTTAACTCCAATTAACAGACATGAGCGAGCCTCTAAGAGAGTGACTTATTTATGATCATTCAGCTAACTAAATAAGGGTCAGGATTTGAACCTAATTTTTGGATATTTCATTAAGCTAATTCTTGGGGCTGATAATTCTTTAATATTTCTTTTCAGACACGACTACTTTTACTTAAAAATCTATTATGTAAACAAGGAAGCCCATTGACCCAAAAAGAACTAGCACAACTTGCTAGGTGAGTAATTTGATTTGGTCTATCTTAAAGCTTTTTTTTTTTTTTTAAAGAATTCTTTTTTGTTTTGTGTATAATTATGAAATGAATAATTTATTTTTAAGAGAACTTCACCTCATCCTTTAACTTCCTTTACCTTTTTTTCTTATCTCTTATTCTTATATATATGGTTTCTAAATTTAAATTTCTAGATCTTCTGTAAGACCTGACCTACATATCCAATGATGGTATATTCTTTTTATAAATTTATTAAAACTTGTAAGTGGTATTAAAATAATTTTAAAAACTTAAAACATCTTGTATCTCTGCCTACACCAATGCAAATATTTTCTTCTTCTTTCCTTTTTTTCTTCTTTCTCTTTCTCTCTTTTTTCTTTTCTTTCTTTCTTTCTTTCTTTCTTTCTTTCTTTCTTTCTTTCTTTCTTTCTTTCCTTCCTTCCTTCCTTCCTTCCTTCCTTCCTTCCTTCTCTTTCTTTCTTTCTTTCTTTCTTTCTTTCTTTCTTTCTTTCTTTCTTTCTTTCTTTCTTTCTTTCTTTCAAGAGCACAAGCAGGGGAAATAGCAGGCAGAGGGAGAAGGAGAAGCAGGCTCCCCACTGAGCAGGGAGCCCAATACAGGGCTCGATCCCAGGACCCTGGGATCGTGACCTGAGCCAAAGGCAGATGTTTAACCAACTGAGCTACATGGCACCCCACAGATATTTTTATACAAACTTGTTCTCTAGTATTACACATAAATTTTTTTTTAACTTTTGCATCTTCAGCTTTTTTTATGAGTGGTATACTTAAGTAGAAACTATAGGAGGTGTACTTGTTGAATTTTAGTCATTAAAAATCTCATAAAGTAATTTAAATACTCAAGAAGTATGTGAAGTGCTAGTAATTTTAGTAAAAACCCTGAGTTCCAGATACCTATGAGAAAAGAGTAAATTCAATACTTGGAAATATTGAGGTTCTTCTTTGTCATTGCAATAAAGAATGCAGCTAATAATGTTTGATCTCAATAGTTATATAACATAGTATGTGCTAAGTAAATGCTTTCTTTTCCTGTTTTATTTTCTTCTTCCTCTTTGTGTCCCCCCCCCCCCCCCCCGCCAGTTTTTAGTTCCCCTTGATAATCTCTTGGCTGCCCAGGACTCTCCACTGTGGCATCCCATTCAGGTGTGCCTTTTTTGCCAATGTCTTCTACCCCAGACTCTTCCTTTACCCTCTCTGTCCTACATTTAAAGAAATGTACCTTGGGGACCTGACTGGCTCAGTTGGTAGAACACATGACTCTTGATCTCAGGGTTGTGAGTTTGGGCCTCACGTTAGGCATAGAGTGTCCTTGAAAAAATTTTTAAAAATTTAAAATTAAAAAAAAGAATCTACCTTGATTGACAGTGTTTTTTGTCAAGATAAAGAAATATTAATTTACAGAGCAATAATTATGGTTATGTATCAGTTAGCTAGCAATGGCTTATAGGTGTTATCTTTTCCAAGGGATGTATTTAAAATTTAATGGAGCCTCCTGGAGATGTAATATGCCTTAATCTAAAGAAATGGTTCTCATAATGAAAATTTCAGGCATTCTGAGGACTGCCATAGACTATTTTGTTTGTTTTCAGCAAGTGGGCCTGTGTCCTTAAAATCAAATTACATAGCTCTCTGCTTGATGATAGAGGCAAACTAGATTTTACCCTCTTTTTACATGGAGATTTTAAATCTGCAAAGATGAAAATAATTTACTCTTTCTTCCTTCCCATTCTCAGAATGACCGATGGGTATTCAGGAAGTGATCTAACAGCTTTGGCAAAAGATGCAGCATTGGGTCCTATCCGAGGTATGTGTATAGAGCCTATTTATTAGACCACTTTAGAAGCTTAAGAAGTCCCTATTGAGAGGTTTTTGTTTTAATAAGAAAGCATTGAAGCTGTTAGAAAGCTTATTACAAAATAGTTTCTAGAGTTAGAGTCAGCAACTCTAGACTGAGAGAGTAAAGGGCCTGATAAATATTTTAGGCTTAGGGGCCACATAGGCTCTCCGTTGCATATTCTTCTGTTTCTTTGTTTTCACAAACAAAAATGCGAAACCGTCTTAGCTCACAGTCCATGGGTCAGTAGTAGACCATGACCCCTATTAAAAACAACAGTTTTCAGGGTTTTTTTATTAAAAAATTTTTGTTATTGAAATATAGTTCACATACAACGTTATATTCATTTCAGGTGTACAACATAATGTAGAAAACTCTGTACATTAAACAATGCTCACCACGATAAATTACCATCTGCCATGTTTCACTTCTTGATAGTAGGTAACCAGCAGAAAATAAAAATAAAAAAAAAAATAAAACATTTTTAAGCAAGCAAAAAAGAAAAATAAAGGGGAAATGTTCTTATCTGTTTTTTGGCTCTTCTCACTTCAATATTCTGATATCACTTGAAATTAAAAGTGTCTAAAGGGAAGCTTTTATTTGTATTCTTATATGTTATCTTTTGAGGAATTGCTTTGATTTGATTCAGAGTTATTTGCTGATTGTGAAATACCACTATGATACCACTTTAGACTAGATATTCTTAACTGCTTTTCCACAGCCAGTATGGGGAGTGGGTAAATGATGCTCTCAGGTATGCACGCAGATTGCTGGCTGTGACAATAAAAAGGAACATGAAACATGAAACTTCTAGAACTTATCTCCTGCAATGAAACAGTGTACTGACTCAGAATTGCTGCTTTGGAGAATAAGAAGTGTAACCTTGAGAACATGGGCATAGCATTCTAGTCAAACTTGCTGCCAGAACCATGAAGTCTTGTTCAGAAAGAGGACTCAACCAATCACTAATATATAAACCATTTGCCTTTTTTCCAGAAGATTTTAACTATTCTGAAGCAAACAAAAGTTACTGGGTTTAAAAAAAAAAAAAAAAGAAAAAAACTTTGTAAAGAACAAGCTGCATTCTTTTAAGTTCACTCTTAAACTTTGTAAATTTTATTGTTCTTGAGCAATATGCAAAGAAATTGAATGCCTCCCAGTTACTCCTAAAAAGGACTATTATTAAGCATTTATAAATTGTGCTCTTAATATTAATGTGTGTCTTCCTTTTAATACAAATAATTTATATTGAACATGTACTTTTAGATCATTGTACTTGGCTTTGTGCTTCAGTAACTTAAACTTAGAAATTTTTTTTTTAAGTGATTGTCTTATATTTTACAGAACTGAAACCAGAACAAGTAAAGAATATGTCTGCCAGTGAGGTATATTATTTTATAATTATCATTTCTTTGCTCTGGTTCTCTATATTGTAAGATAGGTTTGTCTGGATTTTTGTAGTTGATATGATTAGAAGATAGAAAATGTTAACTTTGCTTCATTTCAAAATATACAAGCATATTAAATTACAATCCCTTATGTTCTTTGGTAATGAACAAAAAAAAAACATTGTACATAGTCATTAAGTCATTTTTCTATCAAATCATAGAAAACTTGAGGATTTTACTCTTTCTAACAAGTTAATCCCTTGATGTTTTTGTCCTTATAAAAGCAATTCCAGGGCATCTGGGTGGCTCAGTCCATTAAGCGTCTGCCTTCATCTCAGATCATGATCTCAGGGTCCTGGGATAGAGACAGACCCATGTCAGGCTCCCTGCTCAGTGGGGAATCTGCTCCTCCCTCTCCCTCTGCCTGTCCCCCAGCCTGTGCTCTCTCACTGTCTCTCCAATAAATAAATAAAATCTTCTTTAAAAAGGATTAAATAAATAAAACAATACCATTGTAATGTAATTCATTACATTTTCTTAATATGGTAGGCCCTCTTATGAGACGCTGAGGTATTTCTTTTGAAAAACATTGCTGCAAAATATGACATCGCACATGCAGAATGATTGTAATAACTATGTAAGCAAATATTTAAAATTAGTCTTAAATCATATTTATAACTTATATGTCAGAGATATTTTTTACTGCCCAAGTTTCAACAGCTATTGAGGAGATGGTGAACTCTTAACAGAGAGAATGAATGAACAGAGTATTTTTTTTTTAAAGATTTTATTTATTTATTCATTAGAGGGATAGAGAGAGTGAGAAGGCAGAGACACAGGCAGAGGGAGAAGCAGATTCCATGCAGGGAGCCCGATGTGGGACTTGATCCCAGGACTCCAGGATCACGCCCTGGGCTGAAGGCAGGTGCTAAACCGCCAAGCCACCCAGAGATCCCGTGAATGAATGTATTTGAGTACATTTTGGCAGTCTTTTTTTCTTTAAGCTTCTGAGTAAACTTCATTGTTTTCAGGTATTTTGTGCATAGTAATTAACTACATTACTAAGAATACCCTCACACTTATTGCAACCACCATTTCATTTTAAGTCTAATTTACCTAGAGTGTCTTTGATATGAGTGAAGCTGGGAATAGAGTATTCCACATACCTTCTTTGGCATTTAGCTACTATTACCTTAAAAATTCACATTTAAAGTATAAGTTCCAAGTCCCTTTTATCTGATTCATAATTTTAATTCCACATTTACTTTTTTTATATATATAAGTACTTATACAGCTTGTGTTCCCAAAGTGTCTTGTGGATTTTTAAAAAGTTTATTAAGAATATCCCATAAATATATGTTTTTAATGTTCTTATAGCATAAACCTGATAATACCTTTCTACTCAAAAAGTGAACATCATGCATGAATTATTTCTTCTTCATACACCATTTCCCTGCTTTGGACCCAGGATAGATAAACTTGATATCACCTATACTTTGGCCCCTTAGCTTCAGACTAGGAGAGGCCGATTGTGTGACAATTTAGGCGTTTTTATTTGACCCATGGAAAGACCACGTGGAATAAAGGGACTAATTAAGGTAGTAATGAGGGCAGCCCGGGTGGCTCAGCGGGTTAGCACCGCCTTCGGCCCAGGGTGTGATCCTGGAGACCCGGGATCGAGTGCCGCATTGGGCTCCCCTGTGTGGAGCCTGCTTCTGCCTCTCCTGGTGTTTCTGCCTCTCTCCCTCTGTGTCTTTCTCTACTTAAAAATAAAAGAAAATAAAAAACAAAGCACACAGTTTGTATCCACTTTAACTGTAACTTTGCTATTTCATTATTTCGTTTTGATAAGACATCTTTGCCGATTTATTTTTCTCCAATTAACTGCCAGTTGCTTTTTCCCATTGTATACATTCACCTCTTACTAACTTTAAAATACCATATATAAATTTCATATATATATATACACCATACTATATATTTCAGTTGGAATTTCATCAAAAGCTTTTAAAACCTTAATTTCTATAACAAATAAATTTTATTCAAGAATATCATAGTAATACATTACATTCATCATCCTTCTACACTTTGGGCTTTAGGAAGAAGCCAGTGTGTGTTTTACAGTTAAATAAGTAAACATGTAGGGCTCATATGGTGATTATGTGGTAACAATATGTCCTTTCCTTTTTGACTAAGATTAGGCTACAAGTTACAAATGTGGGTGATTTTCTCAATATGTGTTCATCAAGATATGAGGGCATGAAGTAGTTAGATTGGCTTTTATAAGAGTAATAAAAAGAATAAATATCAGTTGACATTTTGTCTTAAATTCTCCTTTCACTTATTTTTTGTCAAAATACAATGTATATATTAGTGACAATTTCTAAAACTATTCATTTTGTACCAAGCTCCTTTTGGTTTTAAAAATCCTTTGGTAACTAAAGATATACGTTAACTCAGGATTCTTTTCTACATTCTCATAGCCAATTAAAAAGGTCAGAAAATAAGACCAAATTAATATAAATGCATTATAAGTAATATTAGTATTAGAAAATTTCAGATACAAGCATCTTCTATATTGTAAAAAGTATTGTTTCCTTAAGAGTCTCATGCCCTTCTTGTTAACTTTTCCTGTCTAATAAACCTAACATGAATTTAGCTAGAGTATGCTTGTGGTGAGACTTGAGAGTTCTGTATGATGGAATTGTGATTCTTTTTTCTGCTTGTCTGTTTTTTGTCAAATTTTCTTTAATGAGTGTTTTCTGTTTTTATAATGGGAAAACATTATGATTTAAAATTTTAGGGACGCCTGGGTGGCTCAGCAGTTGAGCACCTCCCTTTGGCCCAGGACGTGATCCTGGAGTCCCAGGATCGAGTCCCACATGAGGTTCCCTGCATGGAGCCTGCTTCTCCCTCTGCCTGTGTCTCCGTCTCTCTCGCTGTGTCTCTCATGAATAAATAAATAAAATCTTTAAATAAATAAATAAAAATTTAAAACCTAGGAAATTAAACACATATCGTAAAAGTAGATTAGTATAGCATTTTGGTAAGATTTCTTATATAGCAAACTTGCCTAACATATATGTAAAATAAGATGACTGGCATGATTTTCTAAGAATATATTTATAACCCAATAAACTACAGCATCATTACTTTAATCCATTTTTGGGTTAATTACTGTATATATGTTCATGATTTGTATTGTCATGTGTTTTTTTTAAATCTAGATGAGAAATATTCGATTATCTGACTTCACTGAATCCTTGAAAAAGATAAAGCGCAGCGTGAGCCCTCAAACCTTAGAAGCATACATACGTTGGAACAAGGACTTTGGCGATACCACTGTTTAAGGAAAGACCTTTGTAAGCCTGCAGAACATTTTGCTTTTGAAGAGAGAAACACCATCTTTATTGAATAGTTATCAGCTACAGAAATTCAGCCTAAGTTTACAGGACTTTTCAGAGTCTTACAATTACTTGTACACCCTAGCAGACAAACCATAAAACAAATTTAAATAAAATATACAATGCAAATGGAGTGTTTTGTTGAAGGCCTTCTTGCCTGTGTTCATGGTTATCCTGATGGGCACTGTAAGTTAGAGCACAACAAAAACTGATTCTGGTCTTCTTTACCAATATAATCATAATGTAAATAATAATTTGTATATCGTGTTGCAGATGAAAGTATTCCAGAAACAGTGAATGGTAGAAGACACAAGCGCCTTTGGTTGTTTGTCTTCTGATGTCTTTTCTTAAAATAGTAATTTTTTCTATTTTCCTTTCCTACTGTTGTCTTTACTACAGATGATTAGAATGCCAAATTCTCGAAGTTTCTTTTTTTTCCTTTTTTTTTTTTAAATACAAGTCCAGTGTGCCAAATGAAACTTCTTCCTATGTAACAGTAATAGGAAAAAGTATTTTGAAGGTTTTTTTCTTTTTCAAAAATCCAGACATTAAACAATTGCATTTCACTTTACATTTTTCTATTACCTTGCTACCAATTTAGAAAGCAATTTGTTGATAGCAAAAAAGCAAATCTTGTAAAATAGAGAGTTAGAAGGTTTGAGTCACTCTGTCATTACAAGGTGTAGATCAATCCTCATGTGACCTGCAGTATTTTTTTCTAATATATGTCAGAAATTTATTGTAGACTGTTAATTTATTCCTAATGGAATTTATTTTCTGCTAGAATGATTCTAATATTTAAAAAGGCCAATCTTAACTGCTGTAAAAGTGGTCCTGTGTGAGAGAAGGGAAGAACTGAGAGATAAGACATTTCTAATTTATTGCTTATTGCTTTCTTACTGTTTACAGGATAATTATAAGCCAGTGGATCTACCATCTTTTATTCTTAATAATTATTAATCCCCCTTCAATGAAACTTTAAAAAATTACTGAATTTTTATACATTGCATACATTTTATAGGTTTCTTGTGCTCACTTTGTTAACTAAAAAGTTAGTCTGTTAATCTGTCTTTTGTTCCCCAAAAATGTATAGTAATTCCATTTCTTGTTTGTATAAGTATGCCTGGATTTTATTATAAAACTGTCATTGTAGGAAGTAGACTCATCATGGCTTTTTAAATATTGTAATAAAGGCAAATGGATATTTGCCCTTAGTTTACTGGTTAAAAGTTTGTTTACAGAAATTTTCTTTGGTGCTTTTATGTAAAATGTCATGGGTGGAAAGAATAATTTTATAATAGTAACAAAGACTTTTTCGTTTAAGAAAAATATCTTTGGTTTTGAGGGAATACATTAAAATTAAAAACGTGCCCCAGCTAAATAAGAATTTTATAATGAAGACATGCATTCTTTTTAATTTTATTCTTGTTCTTGTTAAAGATTTAATCTACATATAGATGTATTGGTTTCTTAAGATAATGGGCTATTTGTAGCTGTAACTCAAATGTCTCCTCTAATCATGAACTTAGAACTCCCTAGATAACAGAAATGAGGGTTGAAATAAATAGAAAAGAAAAATTTTTAAGCCAGAACCATGCCTATTTTCAATCACATGTTGTATCTTTTTAAGGTCTCAAACATTAAAGCATCAATCATAAAATATTGATAATGAAAGATCATACAGTATACATGATGACAAGAATTGGGAATATCCAAAGTTAAAACATTTTCAGTAAAGCTCATAAAATTTCACTTTGTATTTTCATTTAGAAAAGGATTAACATTAATGAAACTTGAATAACTGGTCAGTCATATTAAGGGTCTGTGTGCTTCATGCTCAACTTTTAAAATATGATATTTAAAAGTATTCTATCTGCAGTAATGTAGCTCACTTTTAATTGGCATAGTTTTTAGATAACAAAGATTTCAAATGTTAAAAAATAGAAAAGTCAAGCTAATATTCTCATAAACACTGAATCACAATTATATATTACTGTATGAATAACCATCCATACAGTATAGAAGTTCTTTTACTTTCCTGACCAAAGTCTGAAGTTGAGCTTAGTGATAGAGAACTATTTTCTATGGCTTACTTTTTATTTTCACTTTAAGCTGGTTTTTTTTTTTCTCCTCATAGAATAACCATGAAAATAAGATAATGATATAATTGGAGGCAAAGGGATTCGTCTGTTTTTTTTTTCTTTTTTTCAATAAAGACAGAAGTTGGCGAGGCTTTCTGAATATTAGACTTCGTTTGTGACCTTTTGGATTCTGTGTTGAACTGTCATATTAACTTCTTAAAAAGTAATGCTTAAACATTAAAAGTTAGTGTGCTCATGTTAATATGGCAGTGTTTTGTAAACTATATTAAAACTTACTTTGAGCCAAAGGAAAGAATCAGTACTATCTTTCCCAGATAATGGTAAAAGTTTATTCTAAGACAGTCTGCCCATTGAGGTTGTTAGGTTTCTGACCGTGCTTTGTGCTTAGGAAGAAGTGAAGGAAAAGCAGATGCAAGAATTCCAATTTAAGTAAATATACAGCAGTCTATTGATAGGATAAAATTCTTTATATTTTGTACAGAAACTAATTCTTTTGGTAGAATGAACCATTTAGTTTGGCTTTGGACTCGAGTCAGAAAAAGATTTTCCTTGAAGTGCTTATCTCAAATTTTAATCTGGTCTTTTGTATTTTTTCTTCAGAAGAAAAAAAATGAATTAAAAGGTTCAGCTGCATAAAGTGGATTTTTATCCTAATGGATTGGAAATGAATGGTAGATTTTATTTTGCCTTTAATTATTTTTATTTGAAACTTTTTGAGGTTTCAGAGGCTGCAGTCTAGCAGTGAAGGAGTGGCTCGTATTGGACTAACTCTTGCCCATAATAATTATAAAGTGAACAAAATATAAAAAGCAAAGATTAGAAGACTCTAGGGAGCAAGCAAAACCAGGCAGAAACTGCACAAAAGCATGTCCTAGAAGAGATCCACATTAACTAGCTTTTACCCCCAGGGTAACTTCCAGTGTGTGCAAGGTGCTTGGTGCTTAGAAATAGACTTCAAGCAGAACCTAATAGTCTTTTTGGGCTAAAGAGTCACTTGGGGCTTGTAAAACAGCTGAAAATCAGGAAGGAAATCTTAAGCATTTCAGAGGTAAAAGCCCCAGAATATGCCTACAGATTTCTTTCAAATCCTTGGTGAACTCCAAGATCGTATCCGTGCAGAGTAATATTCAAAGGAACCTAACAGAAAGCAATGGTTGGGGAGTCTAACGAGCTGTGGAGAGATGGAAGCTGCCAGGGGAATCGAGTTCGAGACTTAAATCCCGCTAAGAAGGGTTTAGCTAAGGCATGCTAACCTCTCAGAACAGTGCCTGCCTCCCCCGTGAGTGCTTGGTTGGCAATCACTGCCAGCGACGACCCGTTCTCCAGCCGCCGCGTAAAGCTCACCGCCTCCTAAGGACCCTCCGTGGGCTCCCCGTTTCCCTTAGAAGGCAAAACAAAAACCGAACCAGAATTAGAAATTCCTGCTCGGTCTGACCCATTTTCCGTTTAGATCTCTTCGCTTCTTGCCCTCAAGCCCAAGGCTCCAGACACTGCCGTCTTTCGGACCCTCAAACACCTACTGCTTGTTTTATTTGGAGGGTCTATCCCGCCTGCAATGATCTTCGCAAGAAGGCTTGTCACTCAGAAGTCCAATTTCACTTCCTTAGAGCAGCTTCCTGGACTACTATAGATCAGCGACCCAGTCGCTCTGTTTTCTGCATGGCACTATCCGTACAGTAAACACTCTTCCCCTCCCTCCTTGTTTCCCTCCCCTCCCTCCACTAGGGCCTGATGGATGCACACACGCGCTGCGTATTCCATACAGAATCTTTTTATTCCCCGTGTTCTACAATATTAGCCCCCTAAAATTAATTTCATGAGAAATCAGCGCTTCGGGAAACAGAACACAGCACTGCCTACACTGGCCTGAGTTCGAATTCGGCTATTAACGGAGAACCAGAGGTATACGCCTCTGGGCAAGTTTCTTATTCGTCCTGGTTCCTCAAACGGGAATACTACTTCACAAAACACTGCAAAAAAATTCTACCCCACAAGTAAAAGCGCTTCAGCACTAAGGGAAATTTTTCCTGACGTTACAAAGAGAACCTAGGCGCTCCCTGACTGGGTCTTGAGCTCCCTCGGCTCCACCTACGTACCCCCGAAGCGCCTCGGCGCGGCCGCTCTAGCTGCTGCCTTCGCCTCTATGGCACGCAGGGGTAGCCGGGGAGGGGGCGGGAACGGAGTCGGCGCACGCACTTCCGCCCCCGTGTCCCTCTCGGCCAATCGGCTTCCGATGCCCCACCCCTTCCGCTCTAGGGAAACCCTAGCTCCCAGAGCGTCTTCCGGCGGGAGCTGTGCGGCTCCTTATCATGGTGAGTTGGCTGGGGGTCTGAGGGTTTCTGTCGTAGATGATGCCTCTTATCTTCTCGCATCCCGGAGCGGCCTTGACATGCCTCAGCGGCCCAAAGGAGGGGTCCTCGGAGTCGTGCTCGGGCCCCTGCAAGAGAAGCGGCGCACGTCCGAAGCGTTCATTGCCCGCAGAGCTCCGAACCCCCCGCGATCCCTCGCCAGGCCCCTTAGGCGCTTGGCATCCCGGCTCTGCTCGCGGCCGAGCTTTCAGTTCTTAGCGTTTATCACTTTCCCGTGCCGAGATATATATTTGATACAGAAATAAAAGTCTTTGCCGGCGCCAGCGTCTGCACCAGCAAAAGCTCTGAAAACAAGTCCAAGCGACGGCGACCGTAATTAGTGATGCTTACTTACATCAGTGACGATACCGTTGTTCATAAAGAGGGTTATGAGTGGGGCGTTGAGGTGGACGCCCCCTCTGCAGCCTGGCTTAGTGGAGCGCCAGGGAGCCTGACACAGCAGCAACTTTCAGAAGGCCGGTGGTTGCAGAGAGTCCAGGTGTTGGTAGAGCGTCTTTATTGCACGTTTTTTTTTTTTTCCCGCGTTTGCAGATCCCACTATATACCTTACGGTTTGGGGGGAATGTGATTTTTTTTTTTAAAGAGAAATTCGTCTTTTTTATGCTTTTACAAATCAAATATATATATATATATCTCTGAATTTTATCGAAAGATAAGTTGAT